AAGATTTCTGCCCAATATTGCAATGAGATCATAATTCTGTGTTTGACTTCTATCACATGCCATGAAAGTAGCTGCTGTAAGCTTTTGCATTCAGAACTTGACTGTAATATCATATAGGAAGAAATGGCAACTAGGGGATCATTCCCAGACAAAATATAAATCTTTTGGTAAAAAGCAGAAATTGCAGTTTTAATGGGGAGGTGGGAAAGTGTTAAGGACAACAGGAGAAGTATGCCTCAGAGTATTTCCAGGGTTTTTCCCCTCATCATGAAAGTTAAGGGGCACTTTTTAAACATGGAAACAATGAAGAGTAAATCGATTTGGTGCCAGGAACAGTCTTGCAAATATCGTTCTCATTTGTGTTCGGTGTATAAAATATATTCCAATAAATAACAATGTCCTTTACAACCCTGTCCTGTGTCTTTCTCTTAGAAAAATACTACTTTTTACTGACTTGTATGTTCCATCCCTTCTCTGTCCACTTATAGATATACTCCAACAGAGTTGCTTTAAGTGACGAGTTCATCGCACTGCAGCCATTGTCCAGGGCAAGGAATCAGCTGAGCAAAATTAGGTAGAGTAGGAGGGACAGTTCCCCATCAACTCTTATGCATGTTGAAGGTCAACTAACCAGCACTGAAAAAAATGGGAAGAGGCATGAATATTAGAGTGGGATGAGAGGCAGTATCTATAGTAGAAATTCATTCTATTTGGCATCTTTCTTGGCTTTGCTCTGTGTTTTTGAGGCCAGTTGCTTCTCATAAGTAGCATGTATTAGACATTTCTTGTAGGAGACTATCGCTAGCATGATGCTCAATTTAGAGAATACAGTTCTAGTCTTTCTTGCATCCAGTTTAAAATAACCACGATTTCTAGCATGGTTCCAATGCTTTTGCTTTGTGTAGTCAAAATTAACAGTGCTTTCTTTCTGCATGTTCGGTAACTACAGCTTCATAAGACCACAACAGTAAGGTCCTTGTGTTTTAGGCAGCAGTTTCTTGCTAACTGCCCATCTTAATTTGCTTTCACTTGTGCCATAAGAACATAGAACATTGTCTTTTGTTATGTAGTAAATATACATTTGTGCTGCAACTAAGATTTTTCATGCTCTTGCTTTTGTTAGTGCATCTATCAAGTTGAATGTCTATTTTCAATGCATTATGGGTGTCTGTGTCTTTAAAGATATTTGGGAGTAAATTGTATGAAATATTGAAAGACTGAAGTGTACCTGTCTGCTGTCTAGGTAAAGTACTAAGATGCTGAAACTTTTATAATGCATTTGGTCTTAGTGTATGAAGTGCTATAGAAATGTGATTCACATTTTAAAAGACTAAAACATGCACAAAAATAAAGGGTTACACCATCGTTCCAGCCTTACTCAGCCCTCCACTTTTGCAGCAACAAAAAAATTAAAAGCCCATTTTTGTTCATACAGTGATTGTCTAAGTCTAGGATTGTGCCTGTAAATCAGGACTAGGACATCCATGTAACCAACATTGAAGGAGTGAAAGTACATCCTTTAAAATAGAGGAAACTGACACATGCAAAGGTAGTGGTGTCATATTTTAAACAAATAATTGCGACAATTAACACTTAAAAACCTGAGATCGCAGTTGCAGGCTCTATGGTTTCTCTGTCAGGATGAGTAATATCACTTCGAAGAGAGATTTGAAATAATTTCATTCTTTTCCATTATTATCATATGATGGTACTTGTAATGCAACTCACTCTTGCAGAAATACCAGGAAGTCTGTAGCTTAGATCCCTGAGTATCATAGGGAGTCAGTCTTATTGAAACTTGAGCACAAGTTAACTTTTAAAGAAAGGTAAGTTGGCAGTATTTTTCCATTTAATTAATTTTACCAACTTGTTCCCCCCCCACTCCCCTCAAAAGTGCTAGAATTTAACTTTTTGGCCGATCAATGTATGTAAACACTTCATCTTTTTAAAGTCCAGCTAAAACATATTTTCAGTGCAATGAGTAACTTTGGACACGCATAGTAGCATACTCTGCACAGAAGGGCTGCGTCTAGACTGGCAAGTTTTTCCGCAAAAGCAGTTGCTTTTGCGGAAAAACTTGCCAGCTGTCTACACTGGCCGCTTGAATTTCCGCAAGAACACTGACAATCTCATGTAAGATTGTCAGTGTTCTTGCGGAAATATTATGCTGCTCCCGTTCAGGCAAAAGCCCTCTTGTGCAAATGCTTTTGCACAAGAGGGCCAGTGTAGACAACGCGGTATTGTTTTGCGCAAAAAAGCCCCGATCGCGAAAATGGCGATCGGGGCTTTCTTGCGCAAAACCGTGTCTAGATTGGCACGGAGGCTTTTCCGCAAAAAGTGTTTTTGTGGAAAAGTGTCCGTGCCAATCTAGACGCTCTTTTCTGCAAATGCTTTTAATGGAAAAACTTTTCCGTTAAAAGCATTTGCGGAAAATCATGCCAGTCTACATGTAGCCAAGGAGTAAATGGATAAACAAAATATTTGTATGAATTCTTAAACACGGAGTACAGTTTTGCAGTTATATTATCAGATATTCAGGGAAAATTAAAGCTCTCTATAGATGCTGCATTGTAATGTGTTTTAAATTAGTAAAACATAAATAGTTGAATGAGTATACCTGTAAATTTAAGATGTCCCCATTTACAATAAATGAGTAATGAAGCAGATTCTCAGGTAAGCCAAAAATTCTCAAACTGCAAAAATCAAATAACATTGTGCCAACCTATGACACAGGTTTATTTACATACATAAAGTGTTCAGGAAGTTGCCCAGTACACTGGGCATCAGCTGAGATTAGCTGCCTTTAGGGCACTTTGAGATGCAATATAATACAATTGTGTAAGATGCAATATAACACAAAATGATTTAACAAATTGGGTGGCAGATGTATCTCTGGGATGAAAATAGGTGACTTCAAAAGTTTATTTTCAATAGGGAAGAATAAATGCTATGGCTTTATAATGCCATTGTTAGTTAAGGTTTTGATTCAGCTTACTCCCCAAATCAAAGGGGCTTGCAGATGCAGTAGAGTAAGTTCCATTCAAGAGTCCTACCCTTCTCCAACTCCAGGAGTCAGATTTTTTTAACTCTTGTGTGTAGTCGTAAGATGGGAGTATGGTAGCTACTACATGGGGATTTACCATGGAACAGTAGGAAAAGAATTAATAAAGTCCACTAGATTTTTACCTTCTAAACAAAAGCATAATTTAGAAAAAATTAAGTGAACCTGTCCCAAAAGAAAGAACTAGAAAAAAAAAAATCTAGAAATGAGCAGCCAGGACTTTGCCAAAAAATTAATTGCTCATTGTTGTCTGACCTCATTTACATTACCTACGTAATATTAACTTTTACTCCTTGTTTGATTCCATAATGGAATTATAATATATTTTTATAGTATACATTTTTGGAAGCTAACTAGATTCCACTCAAACTCACTTTCTAGCTTTTTTTAAAATGAAGTCTGTGTTTAGGAATGTCCTTGTGTTTTGAATGTGATGCCAAAAGTTCAAAGTCATTTAGCATATATGGTCCATGTGAGTAGTACAGGCATCAGCATGTCTTCTAGGTAGCTCTTCTCCTTCACCCTATACATGACAGTTGGGTGGTAAATGAAGATATTGTACAGCAGAGGAAGAATCAAAGGGCTAGGAAAGGGTTTTATCTTCAGGGAATGCTAATGCCTGAAGTTGTAAATAATAAAGTGTTAACATTTTATTCTTAGAATGTAAATAAAGCTCTGTCCTTCCATGACTCTCTGCCTCTCTCCCCCCGCCAATAACTCTACTGCTGCCCCTTGTTTTCTCCACTATCTTTATGCACTTCTGCCTTTCCTGAATCCTTCATTCTGAAACTACAAGAGCATGTTTCTTGGGACTCTGGTTTTCATTAATCTGAACCACTATTTCTCTCACGCCTGCTTCATGATGGTTTTCCTCTTTACCATCATGTCTGGCTCTGGACAGCAACTTTTACGGCAAAGTATGGGGCCTTTTCCTCAATCTTAAATGTCTCCTTTCCCCAGCCCCTCCAACACGCGCGCACACACACGCACGCACCAAGGCATCACTTCTTACTAGGGTGAACTTAGATTGTATGCTCTCTCATGGCAGAGAAGATCTTTTTGTTTTATGTTTGTACAGGGCCTGATCCATGACTGAGGCCCTTATGGGCTGTCATAATAAAAAATATTTGGTGTTTGTATACACATTCCTTTTGGAGGTACAACTGAGCAAAATGTTTAGGGAAAAAGTGTCAGGGAGACTTCTGAAATGCCAAACTTGAAGTTACCTTTTCTAAATTTTGCAGAACTTTCTAGAAAAAACAAGGATGAGATGTGACATTTGAAATTTCAGGGGAATTGGTCTCTTGTGACTAGGAGAAGGTAAAAATTGAGATCATAAAAGGAAGCTACTTTAAAGCTTAACTGTGGCATAGCAATAACGATCTCATAATCTATTTTAGCTATTTACATAGCATTGATTATATTAGTATCCAAAACTCCATTGTGGTGAAATGCTTAAGCGTGTACTCTACCTTGAAGCACATACTTAAATCCATTTCTTTTTAGCAGAGCCAATAAGTAGATGCTTCGATTATATACAAATGCATTGTTAAACTGGAGTCTGCACATGTAATTTGGCATACAGAAGACCCCACAAAATGAGAAAAGAATTAGAAAGATCCTTTGGACAAAAGTTTTAGACCTTTTATTTGGGGGAGGAAAAATTTAAAAAATGAAAATTACTAGCAGAAGAAATGTACATTCTTTGTACTCCTTTAATTTGTTGACAAACTGTACTCCATGGTAATGTTTTATGTGCATTAACAAATAATTTATATACTCTTAATATACTGATTTATTATTGAAAAAAGAGTGCACATTTGCTTATATGGGAAGAGACAACTTTCTCAAGTTAAAGATTGGTTTAAGATGACTGTTTTAAATTAAATTAAATTGAGTGTGGTGTTTTATAAGATTTGTTGCTTTTCTGTCCTTCTAGATGGAAGAGGATAAGGGTTCAGTCAGCTCAGCATATGACTTTGCTGAAAGCAGGCACAGAGGGGAGGACAATAGGCAACTGCTAGCTGAACCATCTAGCCAGCAGGACTGTTCTTGCATTCACTAGGTAGTACTCCCACTATACCCTAATGTATAGTCAGTCATGGAATCATCTTTGAAATACCCATACTTTTGATATTTACAAGGAAACTTACATGATGGCATGTTTTTGTTTGGGTTTAGCAGACTGAATTGCTCATTGTAATACATAGTAATTATTTTTTGTTAGTTCATTTCATTAAAGTTATCCATTACCCTGAAAAACATTTGCTTTACAGCGATGTAAGATCCTGAGCCCTAAGTTTAAAAACTACTTTGCTGCCCAGAGATTAGTGTTCTTAATTTTTTTCTCTGCAGATGTCCATCTTTAAACAGTGGCTCTTGCTGTCAATAACAGCCCAGCTGGGGATACACTTGGGATTGCCAGAGACTTTGTTTTAAAATTGCCTATGCTCAGTATTGTCCACCTCATTACATTCTGCATTGTTGTCTTACCTGTTTTTGTTAAGCTTTAGTTTAGTGTCACAACTATGATAAAATCTGCGTGCAGATCTAAAATTGGAGAGGAGGCTAGGGAAAAATGGACAGTGAGGGGAAATTATGTACTAAAGTTAAAATCTGTCAGTCCGGGATACAAAGAGAAAGGATCCTTAACTAGGCAGCCACTACCTTTACATTAAGTTTATTTTCCTGTCATATCTTATCACTCTCTTAATATTACTTTTGATGTTACTAAGAGAAAGTTGGCATAGTTGACACGAGGAAGGTGTGGATGTGGGGTTTTAAAGGGATTTCTGGTGTGCACATTTTACTCTGGAAGTACTACTAGTAATGCTTCCACTCAGTTTTTAGTTTTTAAAGTGGGAGGTATTTGTAGATTTAAAATAGCAAAATTTTTTTTGCATTTATTTACATACCAGATTTTGTAAGGTCACTGTTTGCAAATGGATGATGTTAATATTTCTGAATCATGGTAAAGCATTGATTCCTTATTAAGTCACTACTCTGTTGCACAGAAACTGAAGGCAAAATTAATTTTAAGCTCACTAGAAATCAAAGTGTTTCATCCTAAGTAATTTTTCCCTAATTTTGTCTTATTGTTCCAAAATCTCTCTTTGTATTGTGATAACCACTTTTTTTATTTGTTTTAGAGGCATTTCAGAAATACTGGGTCATTATACATTAAAGGTTGCACAGTCAGAGCATAGGATTTTGGCATTGAGAGGCAAAGATAGTTTTATCCACCTTTGTGACCATGCCAACTGTTTCATCCCACAGATGCAAATTTGTGACGCCTCTTGGCTACTCCCTCTTTGTATCAACTTGCAACATCCTCCAGTGTTCCCCAGCCATTATGCTTGCCAGGCTGCATCATTAGAGTGCAGTTGCACCCTGACTTCTTCCCTAACATGCATCTTTTGCCAGGGGCTAAGGAGGGTGTATGGCTCTGCCCATCTTTATATTCTTTTATCTGATTGGTGAAGTCAACTTTATGGCCTCAGAATATTGGAGGGGCCAGGTTCTGCTTCGTATAGTATCTATTAAAGAAAGAATCAATTCTGTATACAAAAACCAAAATTATAGAAGGTGAGGTTGACTTGCAGCTGACTCCAAAATTAGGGGTTGTATGTATCTACTGCTACTTAAAAGACCTGTTTCTAGAGGGACTATGAGACAAAATATATAGGAACATATTCTTCCATGAGTGTAGGAACGTGAATCATGCATGAATAATAATGGAGCACTTTCATGTGTGATCAAATAATATGATGTTTTCCAGTAATGTCTGAGAGAAACACAATTTGACACTAAATTAGTCAGTTTAAGAACTGAGATTTCTACTTTTATCTCTTTTGAGACTTTTAAAGGCCCTCTCCTGTGATTTACTGAAGCTCCTCCTGAGAGTTTCCTTGTCCTCAACTCCTGCTAACTTCTGTTAATTTCTGTATCTAGAATATTTACAAATTTATTCTGCTCACTTTCATGTCCTTTTTGAAAATGTTGGTGCCCCAGAATAGCTCATAGATATCATCCAATCAGGAGGTACACTTCTGTACATAATTCATCTCATTGCATTCTATCTGATGTTAAATTATTAAAAAAGTTTAATGTGTTCCCCCTCACTGAATTATTATAACTGCTTAACAAATAGTTTAATCTGAGTTATGTAGGTAGTTCCCTCATCAATAGATATGTATACCTTTTAGAAGGCAGATAAGCAAAAAAATGAATTAAAAATACTCTAGTGCTAAATTTTTGGAATTTTGGGTGCTACAGTGGAAAAGTACTCAGAGTGTAGTATGAAGGAACCTGTTAATTGGTGATTTGTAATAAACATCTTCATAAACTCTCAATATATAACCTCTTTCAGTTTATTCTAGTCTGTTTTACATATACTAAAATTTCATTCATAGTTTATACTAACATTCAGTTTTTCCTTATTCTAGCATGGGCTATGACTGATGGTTCTTAATGTTAATTCTGTATTTGAATTTAGATAAAAATCTATATACAGCTTCCTCCCCTCCCCACCCCCCGCGCAAAAAAAAAGTGAGAGAGTAATTCAGTTCTGTATCTATCTTTATAGTGTGTGTCAAGCTTTAATAACTTCATTCCCAAATTCCAATCTCTATAGTGTATTTTGTAAAGGAGGTTATTCTGCATTATAAATGGCAATCTAGGATAAAATTTCAGCGCTTTCTAAATAAGACAAGAAGGGTAGCTAGAAATATGTTCCCTGACTTTTTTTCCTCAGATTTAATGTCAGCTTAAATCAGTACTAGTGAACCTATTGCTAGTTGTGGAACCAGACTTCCTTCAGAAAACTGCATTCTGCAATTCTTTCTGAATAGTTACAACTATTACTTTTAGGCAGGTTCTATATTTGAAGTCTTACTTATTCTAAAGTTCTTTTGTGGGGGAGGGACTGGTATATTGTGAATGGGGTGGATTCTGAGCTGGTGTAAATTGTCATTGTACATTTGAAGTCAAGTGGCGATGGCATTTTATACTAACTGATGATCTGCCCCATAAGTGTATTACAGGTGAAACACAATAGCAGATGATGTACCAGCCAGGTTACTTACAGCAGTAGTAGAAGCTGGACATATTTTTATGAGGTGCCATTTGTCCAATAAGTTAGTTGTTCAGAAGTTGGCAGCCCCAAAGAGCATCTAACTCTCTATCTGTATGATTCACATGGAGGAAAAAATGGTGCTCTTAATACAGTATCATAATTAATTTCTTATAAATTAGAAACCTATTCTATTAACACTCTTAAAATTTAAAATCTAGCCTTCTTTAAGCATTGCCTGTAATAGCAGGACCATTTTAACTCTAGATTCCACAAATATTAATTCTCCTCTCTTTTTTTCACTTCAGCTTACTGAGGCAGGTTCAGGTATCAACTGCTTGGACTCCATGTGCTGCTTCTCAGATGGGGAAACAGCATGCACATCTGTTAGAAGAATGTTGGAACGACTAATGGGAAGATGTAGTCCAACCCGGGTCAACAGGTGTGGAATTTCTCTCAATAGCCTTTGCTGCAGACGATTCTCCTATAAACTGGAACCTGATGAGCCTGCAGCTATAGATGTCTAGCAAGCCAGTTGAAGGTTTTGCTTAAGTAAACAGGAAAATGCTGTTCTTTATAGTACTTTTTGATCCTAAAAAGTACGTTTCTTGCTTACTGGGAGTGCTTTTGTTAGAAAAAGGAAGAAAACGGTTTTTCAGGAAACAGAACTCTCTTCAAACTTTGTTTGGTCTTTCTAGTATGAGATCCTGTGTTGTATATATGCTATATTCTTTTGGTTTATACATCCCTCTCTTTAGAAAAACAAACCTCACTGTGCTGTTTGTTTTCATGATCCAGCCTTTGCCTTCACAAATCAAGCATAATTTGTAAAGTCAAAAGGCTTTTCCTTTGATACCTAATGTATGTCTTCCGAATAGTCATGAATGAGCTTGTTACTTCTAAAGATATACAAAAGGATCATATTCCCCCCCAGACTATAATTTCATCATTAAAATGGAAGTCCTAGACTTTTCATCTATTGGTGGTTACTAAAATTAAATATTTTTCTAATATAACTTTTTATACTCTATTTCTAGAAACCAGTTAATTTACTAAACAAAGTCTTCAAGTTGACTTAGTTTTAAAGGGTTTTCTGTTTGTATGACAGCAAAATCACGAGTGCCATTCATAAATGTGTGCTAAATATTTTCTTGAATTACATATACTAAAATTCATATTGGTGTAAGAAGAACATAAGAATAATCAGAAATATATTTGTAACAAGAGATGCTGACTTAGCTTACAACAAATATAGCTGAGAGATATTTAGAAAGTGATTGAGGTCTACTGAAGTAAACACTTCCACATCTCCCCATTTCAGAAATCTCAGACATAACAAATATTGAAGTATTTGGGGGTAAAAATAAAAAAAACCTTTTGTACATCCTATTCTGTCCTTTACTGAATGATATCATAGCCCTCCATTATTCAAAAGCCAAACCTGGAAAAAATTGCACTTCTCACATTTACATAAAGTTTACTTTAATATGTGAACAACTGTCTTGTTTTAAGTCCAAGGATATGATATCATTCATACAAAATAAAATCTTGTATGGGTAATTTATACTGACATGCCTTGTCAGTTTTGATTTTACCTTTAAGTGTTGACTTCGTATGTGGTACGTTTCAGTTTTAAAATTCTTGTGTTAACACAGTGTCTGTGATTCAGTAATCTTCTTTATTCTGTCTTGCTTATGAAATTTTGTTAATTATTTCCATAAATCTAGGGTATAATTATGCAAAAATATCCTATTCTGTATAAAAAGAAACTGTTTATGATAAAGTACATTTTTAAATCAAAACTCTTGCTGTATAGAAAGCAAGCATGATGTATAAAATAAACAGTTGAATAGAATTTTTAAACTACAAAATGAGCATTTAATTGATCTAAAACCAACATTTCTGTAGTGGTTGCTTTAGATATATTTTCACTTTTTGCTATCTTCTGTAACAAATGAAAACTATGTGGTGCAAATTAGCAACTTTTATTTTCTACACTGCTTTCTTCTTTTTACTGTCCCCTAATAAGTGATACTGCTTTTAGCCAAGAAATTGGTTATTGTGCATGGTCTCATAAAGGTAGCTATAGTTATGTCCTTTATTCTGCTAGGCATCTGGATTTTTTTACAGTTTTTTTTTCCCCCTCCTTCAGTAGGATCTTTTCATGATTAAAAAATAAACTATCACATTTGACAGAATATAAAACACTTTTTCAGTATTGTACTATTTCTCAGGTTACTTGTCTGTTACCTCTTATCTTTTTTTCTTAACGAGTGTACCATCTAAATCAGGGGTGGGGAACCTTTTTTGGGTTGAGGGCTGCTGACCAACAGAAAAAAAATAAATTGCGGGCCACACAAAAACAAAAAAAAACCAAAACAAGCAAACAAAAAAACCAAATCCTCACTGACATGGCCCCTGATTGAGGAGGAGACAGATACTCCCCACATTGCACTCTCACACCAGAGCCTAGTGGGGCCTAGGCTAGTAGGTTTTGTGTGCTCCAGCTCCACAGGCTCTCCAATGTTGGGAAGGGAGCCCTGAGCCTCACATCCAACCCCCAAGCCTTAGCTTTCCCACCCCTGATCTAAATGAATAATTTTAAAACCTAAAAAAGTTGTTTAAAGTATTAGAATTAACATTGCTTCAACAAATTAATATGAAAAACTATCTAGGTGCTAGTCAAAGGGCTTTAGAAGTTCCATTGTTGCTGTTGCAGTTCCAATTTTTATATTGAAATGGCTCTTCACAACCCTTTCAGTTTCGCTTCATGAAACTAAATAAATCAAGCAGATTCTTTTTTAGTTATTACACTTTTGCTTTTTCAGTGACTCCAGCTCCTTCCCTTCAGCATTTCTATTTAAAATCCAGTCTAAAAGTGGTAGGAGGATATATTTACATTTGTCCCCTCACTTCCCTTGCAATATGTGAAAGTCACTGAATATTTTTGTTGAACATACTAATTATGTAAGTCACATAAAACAGTTACCAGCTGTGAAATACTAAAGGTACAATTAAGTACTTTTAATCCCAAAATATTTTACTTCTCAGTGTTAGCCTAGATAAGGCTTGGGAACATATGCAATTTAGGTTTTACTAAATAGCTATGCTCTTTTAGAAGATGCATGCAATCTCATATGTAACAGACTATTGTGTAATGGTACTGGTAGCGTTAAACAACTGTCCTATTCCATCTGAGAGGTAGCTGCATATCGTAGATGAATGAAGTGATACCTGTATAAATGTAGTTTGTAAAAGTGCTTTGTAATCCTTCGTAATGAAAAGCGCTTTCCAATTCTGTGTGTTATAGTTAGCTTGTATTTATACACAATCTGTGCACCTAATATTCTGTCAAATATGGTAATGGGATATAAAATTAACTATCATATCAAATTTTGGATGGGAGCCATTTCTTTTGATCTCAAAGTGTACAAATGCTTGGAGTAAAGGGCAACTGACTTATAGTACTGCAGTTTTACTGTTTTTAATATATAATCAGAATAAATTTTTCAATGTTTAGTTCGTTTAAAATTGATATATTGCATGTTTCTTGCAAATTGGTAAAATGCATTTGTCTGTCTCTGTCTTCCATTACACTGTCTGTCTGCTTATCAGCCAATAGAATATTAAAAATTCTGGATCATACATTAGTTCTTATTGTAGAACCTATTACTGAATGATCTGGACCAGTCATTAGCCAGTACGCTTGTCAAGGTACATGTGTCTAGTATTTCTGGAGAAACAGCAGATTTCTGACAGAGGTGGGTTTTGGAGCATAAATTGTTTCTGCTTCTAGTTTAACATGTTGACTTTAGCAATCCTGCCAAAGCAGTGGTGTGTGTGTACAGGATTTATTTATCTAGGGAAATAACTTACTCTTGGGTGGGGGGAAAGCCATTGTTAGATTATATCGACTCAAAAGCAAAGATAGTTTGGCTATTTTTTTCCTTGACATACATTTTTGTTTAAAGCTAGCACAGCCAATAGTAAAATATATTTTAATAGCTATAGTTAAACTATTGGGTGGAACTGTGAGTTAAGTAGCTCATAGGATCAGTAATAAAACACATAAGTATTAGCATACTGTAATTAGCTATTTGTGTATTGAGATTATTATTAAAATGACCTTACTATGCCAAGTATAAACTGTAGTATTCATGATGCCTGAATTTACATATATAATATTGTAGTTGCCTCAAGGCATAAATATTCAAATCTTAGTTACATCAAGAAGCCTATATAATTTAAATTTGTAACAGATTAAATATCTTTTTAGTCATGTTAAGTTAGGGCCTTGTCAACTTTGTGGTTTATTTTGGTCAATGTTATGGTCATAAAACTTTAAAAATAATAAATTCCATTATTTCAGGTATTTAAATCTGAAACTTCATGATGTAATTGTAAAGGTCCTAGCCCAAAAAGGAGCTATGGGTGACAGTAGTGCTACTCCTACTTCTGTGCTGCTGCTGCTGGCAGTGGTACTGCCTTCAGAGTTGAGCAGCTCCCACTTGGCCAGAAGTCCAAATCTGAAGGCTGATCCACCATCAGCAGCAACACAGAGCTAGGCATGGCATGCTGTGGTAACGCAAGGTAGTGCCTTCAGAGCTGGGCACTCAGCCAGTCGCTGCTGGTCATGCAGAAGTAAGTGTGGCAATGCTATGACTCTTCCTCCCCTCCCCCCCCCAAAAAAAATAACTGACACTTCTGCCCCACAACTCCCTGTTGGTTCCGAATCCCCAATTTGAGAAACACTGGTCTCATGAAATCTGTTTAGTATAGGGTAGTAGCACACACAAGACCAGATTTCACAGGAAGGAGACCAGCTTTCACAATGCGTGGCATATTTTTCATGGCTGTGAATTTGTTAGGGCCCTAGTTATAGTGAATTTTAAAAATAAATATTGTCTGTTCATAAAATTGTTGTTGCAGCATATTGTTGAGGGTTTGAATGAAATATAGGTGTCAGGGTGGAATTAACAGGCTACCATTTTAAAGCGGTACAGTAATTTGCTTTATGCTTAGATCTTTTTTCCTCTCTCCTAAAATTATAGGTTCCTAGTCAGCCAAATTTTTCTTTTATTGTTACTTTAGATCATGGAGCTCATCGGATCCCTTCCATACCAACGACAGAAGCATCTTGACTCTCTCCACATTGGACTCACCCACTTGTTAACAAGGACATTTGTTAATGCCTTGTGGAAGCCATATAGTGCTTTCATATTGATAATAGGTTATAAACGAGTGCAGTGCTGTATTCTCTGTCCTAGCAAATGTGCTAGCACAACAAAAACATCTAAATACAAGCCTTGTGGTCTATCTTCTAGCATAGCAAAATGTACATGTGAAGAATAATCCCTTTTCCATGACATTTTTTAATCTTAGACCAAATTGCTAAATATTTGAACACTTTTTCTCTGCCCATTTCCTCTGTGTTGCCTACTAACAGGTTGGAATCCTGAGTGTGACATTTTATTTGCTATCTCCAGGTGAGGCAATGACCAAATTTTTCTGTTCCAAAGTAAGTGATACCTGCTTATTTTGTAAATTAAGTTGGTACTTTTCTTGGAAAAAAAATTATTCTAAATTGTACCTTATTGTTATGCTGACCTCTTAGTTTACAAATAAAACTCTTGTTTCTTCCATTGGCAAATCACTTTAAAACATTTTTGGGTGGTGGATTAGCAGTTAGATTGAAATATCATCTACATGTATCTACTGGTTTACAAATGGCAATATACTAGTAAAATACAACTTAGCCTTTTCAAAGTGGTGTCAGAGTAACATTGTGCACCTCTCCGTATAATAAGCATCTCCTGTTTTTAACAGGTAATATTTAAGTGCCAGACATTTTCCCCCAAAACCATTAAATCCTACATGTCTTACTGGCTATTATTGATCCTTATGTGGAAGAATAGGGAGATTGTGCAGTTGCCTCACTAGCGTAGTGTTGAAAAATTTTAACATTGTTGGGAGGTTGTATGTTTTATATTTTTAATGTATTTATATTTCTCCATACTGTACCTTGAAGATTTAATTAAGCATTATCTTCATATATCTGAAGAATCTGACAGCAACGGCTTGATATACAAGTATCTCAATAAAGAGAAATTGCACAGCTGCTACTTTAGACAGAAATATAAATTTGCAGATACATTTTCTGCTATAAATGTGTCTAGTTCTTGGGGCTGGGTAGGAATATTTGCAAATTCATGTGTATATCAGACACCAATGAGCTGGAAGATTGGCTCTACTGGTAATAGAGAGATGCAAAGAAAGATGTGGGGGATCCATCAGTAAGGATACTTCTCAATAGGATGCTGCTAGTCAGCCTTTCAGACCCAATTCCTGCATGGGTGGAAAGTGCTGCACTCACAGGACACTGATTGATTGAAGAAGCTATGTTTTAAATCAGCCTCTGGCTAGTAAGTCCCATAAACAACATTTGTGCCCCCTAAAGAGGAGGAGGAGGAGATGGTGGTAGTGGTAGTGGAAAGCTACACTGGCAAAGCTCAGACTTGTAATTATCTACCAGTGGTGGCAATGGTAAATGCTGTAGTGTAGGCAGTGGGCACAAATTTTCTTACCAATGTCTTCTCATCTAACAAAATGGTTTAAAGGCCTGCACCGCCTACACTATAGCTTTCATTATTGCTATCACATGTTGTGCTTCACTAGCAGTGAATTGCATGACATTTTTTCACAGTGTAAACAAAGCTTTAGAAGTCTTCTACACTATGGCGCATGGGCTGCTGCAAGAATGATTGGTCTCCATTATTTTACTCCTGCCAAGCTTTCTTGGATTCTGTGAACTGAAGAAGAAACAACATTAGGATGTCTCCACTGCTGTTCCCCGATGCTTAGGTCATCCCCATTTCTGACAACTCCAGTGCCTACCACCTTTGCTGATGTTCATGGCTGTCCAAGCAATACATTACTTTAGTTCACCTCTTGAATCTTCATTTTTGCAACAATAAGGACTAGAAACTTACCTTTTAAAAATGAAAGTTTGTCTTCAGCCGCTGTTGAATTTATCACTTTCAATTGTACAAAAAGTCTCAGTTAAATACTAATGCAGATTTTCTTTGTGGTTTCTGACCCCCTGTTCTACCTCCAAAGCCAAAGTTATCTGTGAAATAATCTTAGGCCACATTTTCTAAACAAATTCTCATCAGCTATCTGCTGTTCGTAACTTCACTTCTTGAACATAGCTGTGTCTGTCAATGTCGTTCATTCCTTAGCCATCCTCCCAATGGTTTTCAGTGTTGCAATGTTTTGAAACTTAAATTATGGTAAATGGTTTATTTTTTAAAAAAAGGGAAAATGCTTCAAAAATAACCCTGCTCCAAGCATTTATAACAATTCCATTTCCCACATGTATAATATTTTGACTTTCGTGGTATGGAACAAAAAATTGTATATACATTTGTGCCAACCACCATTTTTGTATTGAAAGAGTAATTTTACCTCCATTATGTTCTTTTTTTAAAACCTTCCACGTCTTCCTGCTTCCCTCCCTTACCAGTGTATCTAAGGTTACTGAAGAAATATATATTTAAACAAATCAGGAAGAGTTTAGGAATTTATTGGTATACCCTGGTACATTTCTCTATTTGGAGAAAAACTTTCAGTAATGTTTATTTCTCATTAATAGGAATGTAAAGTTGATTTACACAGATTACAGAATTTTTATCTAATGAATGCTTAGGATGGAAAAGAACAATATTTTGAAATGTACCGCACATAATGTAGAATTGATTTTACTCAAGGTTGTTTTTTGTATATATCTTCAACTATTGCAGTATATGTATGCCGGTTCTGGATTTGAAACTTTACCCAAAGCAAAGGAAACCAAGTACATCATCTTCAGTTATCCAACAGTAACTGTTGGCCTTTCTGCTATGAGAACATGAAGGAAAAGAATGTACATTATAGAGGAGTGTTATAGAATTACCTTTACTCTTGAAATTCACAAAATTAAGTGACATGCAAAGGATTCCTTATGGATTTTCCTTTTGTTGCAATAAGGCTGTTCTGTACATTCTGAGTTCATTATAACACTCACAATCTTATTTTATTGTGCAGTACATTTTGCTAACATGGATGAAAGAGCATTTTGTCCATAGCCACTTTTGGATCTAGACATAATTCTCAGGGGATATTAATGCCTGCTGTGGGGAACAGTTTTCAAGAACATAAATTGTTTCACATAACCGAGTGTCAAAAGGATACCAGATGGGCACTGGGAATTGGAATCACATTAAAGTATGTTTATATTAACTTCAAGCTAAAATATAAATTACTCAAAATATTCCATTTAAATATAATAGAGGGAGACCACAAAAGTAAAGAAGGAATGTTGAAAATTTTATAATTTCAAAATTATCTCTTGTTTGCTGGTGAAAACAGTTATTTAAAACAGATCACACACTTTACAATACATACTACCCAACTGTCCCTCTTTACTAGAAATAATTAGTTAATAGTTTCAAATCCTTATGTTTACAGTAAGATAAAACTGTTGTGTGTGAAAAGTCTCATTTCTAGTTCTAGAAATCTCACATCATAAGGCTGTTGATTAACAAGGATAGTCTATAGTATTTTTCATTGACAAACTCTTAAAATTGGTCTTTATATACTCCAGTTATATTTGTGAAGGGCAGTATTCAGAAGTACTTATCATGTATGCTACCAATATCATTAGTTCAAGACAATAATCTATCTGGCTATATTGATTTCTCATTTTACAATATACAATAGTAATGTAGCTATTTAACAGAAGTTAACCCATAGTAACTGTAATTGTTACTGCATTATCATATGATCATGATGGTGTCTAATAGATTTACATTGAGAGCTGGGTGAACCATGCAAAAATTTGATAATGTTAGCCCTTTTTATGTTCACAAGTTATGGGCAGACTCTTTTTTACAGATTAGTGTGATTTGCAAAAATTTCAAGTTATGCTGGTTTTCAAATTCCTTGCTTCTACTATTTTTCCTAAGTGCACAATTTATCCCCTCAGTCTCGTATCTGATTTCTTCTCCCTGTTTTGAATTATTTAACTATATGACCAGTGGAAGAGAAATTGGATATTTAGTATACTTATGTGAAAACTTCTGCCATGGATCACATTGTAAACACATTCTCAAAAGTACATGCAAATTGCAAATTTCATTTTCCACAGGAACACTCCTATAGCTAAATATCATTCAGATTGCAAAATCAGTCAAATACACCTATGGTTCTCACTAGAATGTTGAGTTTCTTAAAACAATCACTTAGCTCTAGCTATTACCCTAGTATAATGCAAGTAGTTTTGCAGTAAATTAAACAATTGCCATTACCGTAGATTTCACTCTGTGTTTCCAGTATGTATAAATGCATGGAACTTGAATAAAGTCTGACAGACATGGAGCAAAAAGGCATCTGATTATATAAGAGCACCCTAAAAATATTGCTGATTACAACACAGTGTGCAATGTTTAAAAGACTTATTTAAATGTGTCCAAACATGATCTAATGTAATAGCAATTATCATTCTGTATAGTCAACATTTTTAGAGGAAAATTGTTTAATATGTCAAAGGATCCTGGTTGATTGTATTTTTCTTATCTTGGCAGTGAAATTAATCATAATACATTGTATCTATATATTTAAGAAATGGGCAGATTATTTTTAAAAACAAGACTGTTTCAGGTATAAACAAATGTTATTTCTATACTTCAGAGTATATTTTTTAAAAAATTGCTTAACTATGGTCCCATTAAATGTTTCAATTCTAATGTGCATGTAGAAACAGTGAATCACAACAATCTCTTCTCTCCCTTCCCCCCCCCCCCCCCCCCAAAGAAACACATGCTCAAGTGCTGCTTGTTTTGGAGGGTGGAGAATTGGTTGATACTCACGCAAGAAATATTAGATGCTACGGAAGAGCCATGAAATTGATACTGTTAGACTTTGATGAGCATTAACAACTGGAAACTAGCAATAATCAGTACAAAGAATTTTGGACCTCAAACACTGTGCTGCCTCTATTCTGTTTTAGATTCTCTGACAGCAGAGTTAATACAGGGTGTTCATTGTACAGTTCTATCAGTGAAGTTGTTTTCAAAAAAGCTTATGGAAATTATATTTATTAAATAAAATGTTCACTTCTAGCGGAGTTGGTTTGTTTTAATTATGCAATTAGTTTTGAATTATGTATATTTTCATTTACAGTGCACCATTGTGTATATGGAAATAGTACTAGTGTGATTTCATAGTCACAGTCCTTTTGTTTAAATTGCCTTAGAGCTAATGTAAAAATTACTTCCAAAACCTTTAATGCCCGATGACATCCTCTGTTGTCTAAATTTGGGAGTTTTATTTTATCCCCTCAATTGCCCATTGATGTACCTATAGCAGAAAGAGTCATCAGCGCTTCCTTAACTTAGCAACAAATCAGCATCCAAGAATTTCTACCTGAAAAATTAGCAGCTCTAAGTAACAGAGAAGTTTTATTTTCTAAGAGCTGATTACTCTCTCCCACCCCCAGCAGCATTTTAGAGTAAATAAAGTAATTTGGCAACTTCAGCTTTTAATTTTATCTTCCATCCAACTTTGCAGTTAGCAAAGTAGGTGCTTTTGTTGAGTTTTAGTTTTTTGTTTTGTTTTTTCTTATGCTGAAAGGTTATCAATGGTTTTTACAGTGCAGACTCAAATCTTCATAACCTCTCATGGGCTGCATTTAAAATGTAACAGCTCCTTTGTCCCTTGGCATCTCCTCTTTCAAATCAGAGCACCCTGTGCAGCAAATCAGGAACACAATTCAAACTTTTTGTTGTTGCATCTTTCTTGCAAATTGTTCTACTGTGGTTTAGACTTGATTTTTCTCCCACTGCTCAAGAATTGTCTATGCTACAGATGTTTTATTTCAGGATGAAAGTTAAGATGCATACACAAAGAAGAGAAAACTTCCAGCTGACAGGAGTGACAATATTAAAGCCTTATTTGCAATGTTTAGGGTAGAATTGCATGAAAGCACAGAGCAAGCCAGTGCTAGGTGACCCTAGCAAAGCAGTGACACTAGCTTAGATCAAGTTTCATGATAGCAGGGCTGGCCTTACCAGGAGGCGAGCTGAGGTGGCTGCCTCAGGTGCCAGACTGGGAAGGCAGGGGTTGCCACTGGGACCCAAACTGTAGAAAATTGTCTGCTGCTTGTGTATATGTACTCTCTCTGCTCTAGGTGCACAGAGATGGCAGAGCAGTACCATGAGAGGAGTAGAACAGGAAGAAGGCAGAATTGAGACCTTTCAAAGTTTTGGCCCAAGCAAGGGGACATGGGGGTGTCATTTGAGCTCCCCACCTCAGATGCCAAAATGTTCTGGGCTGGCCCTGCCTAATAGACTTACAAAGCAGCCAGTCATACTGTGAAATAGAGCCTGATCTACTGCTTATGGCTCTTCTAGGCAAGTCCTAGTCCCAGTGGTGGTGAAGAACTTAACTCCTCTAACCCCATGCCACTGCTTGCAGCCACATTTCTCTGTCTTGAAGGCTCTGGTGCAGGGTTAGTATATTGTATTAGTGCAAGGATGTCTATAATGTAAACAAACCTGGCAGAAGCATCTGTCACTGCCTCTCTGCTGCATCATCACCCATGCTGCCGGGTGTCTGTTTTAACTCAAAGCTATTCCTAGCCAAGTCAATCACTTATAAAATGCTTCTGAAGAGCTGTGCCATAGGCTCTCCCCTTCTTCCTGGGCCTGCTCTGCACAGTAAACAATCACCATGCTGGCCTCCAGAGCTGTACACTGCTGGGTTTGCCGCGGCAGGTCTTTGGGGCAGCCTCGGGCCAAGAGTAAGGACAACATGGCTGCCCTTCACTTGTTAGTGCAAAGGTGGCTGTTTGAAATGTGTGTCGTTTGTAGTCCTGACATCATCTCCATCTCCAGTTCTTTACCATCCAGTTTAGTACGGCTGCTGCTATCTTTACCCACCTTGTTAATTAGGGTGCTGCCTTAACCCTTTTCTCCCCTTTATAAAATGGAAGCACATCCCACTGGTAAACCTCACGGCCCAAACCTTTAGGCCACTAGCAGATTGGCTTTTTCCTTTACCCAAGCACCAAAGCCCAGTTAAGAACTGTACAAATACTCCCCTCCCCCCACTCTCTCCTTGGATGCACCATTTCTCCCACGAGTTTGTACATGCTTGTGTACAAGCAATTCACAGATGGCCAAGGCCAGTGTTGTGTTACAGAAGAACCAGGCTGCTTGCCCCTTCCCTGTGTGCTTGGTGAAAAGGAAGCCAGTGACAACAGCTAAGGTGCTGGGAAAGCGAGGCCTCCCTGCAGGGCCAGTGTGTGTGTCCCAGGCTGGTGCGGGAAGGCTTAGCCTAGGGTTTCCCAACCTATGGGTCACCATTACATTTCAAAAGGGTTGCCAACTGTCTTCCCCAGGTGCATTCACACATTTCAGAAGGTCTCCTGCTGGGCAGCTCTCCAGCTGGCTTAGTCTCAAGGAGCCATTCACCGGAAGTGGCACTCAACCAGACTAACACAGCTACATGTCTATCACTATTCTACTTAATAGGTTTAACAACTTTCAGGCAGTTAAGCCAATCAATTGATTTGAATAGCATTTCAGTGACTCAGAGTAGGGACTGTGCTGGGGGGAGGAGTGGTGTCCCTGCCCAAGGTTTGTGGAAGGCTGGAGAGGGATGGCACGAGACAAATGGCTTGGTCACTGTCTTCGGTCCATCCCCTCCAGGGTCCCTAGGGGAACAAGCGCTCCACCCTGATTGACCCATCTGACAATCAGATGACTCCAAACTTCCTCAACAGGACCTGTTCAAGTGAAGGCCAGCTTGCCACTAGAGGACTTCAAATGTCAGTCTTGATAGATTCAATGGAAAGATTCTTCATGCTCTAAGTCAAGAGTGCAACACATACAAATCTGTTACAAATGCATACATACAACATGCAGATTACACACACACCCTGACTCACAGATACATGCATAAAAGTAGTTATTACATACATGAGCATGAAAAGCTGTCACATAAACTGCTACATTTCTCCAACCGTTGCAAACCATTCTATATAGGAAATTGACCTTACATGGCACTAGACTCCACCCCTATAAATGGTGTCATCATTTCCATAGTAACTAAATTACCACAAATGGGAAATAACAGATGGGACTGAAAACAAAATTCAGGACAAAAAAAATGAACATATGTAGTGCAAGAAAGAAAGTATGAAGCTGTGGGGAGCTATAAAGGTTTATTGTCAGTTGTTAGAGGAGACCTCCATACACTCAGCCCTGATTTTGTCATAATCATCCCAAACTTGTGGCAATGCAAATTTTACAGCAGTTCACATTAGTTCACATTCATTCCCTTTCTTTCTCATCCACAGGGCTGGCCTTACCATGAGGCGAACTGAGGCAGCCGCCTCAGGTGCCAGACTGTGGGGGAGGGGGCTCCACTAGGACCCAGAGTGTAGAAAATTGTGTCTGCTGCTGGTACATATGTATTCTCTCTGCTCTAGATGCACAGAGATGGCAGAGCAGTACCATGAGAGGAGTAGAACAGGAAGAAGGCAGAATTGAGACCTTTCAAAGTTTTGGCCCAAGCAAGGGGACATGGGGGTGTCATTTGAGCTCCCCACCTCAGATGCCAAAATGTTCTGGGCTGGCCCTGCCTAATAGACTTACAAAGCAGCCAGTCATACTGTGAAATAGAGCCTGATCTACTGCTTATGGCTCTTCTAGGCAAGTCCTAGTCCCAGTGGTGGTGAAGAACTTAACTCCTCTAACCCCATGCCACTGCTTGCAGCCACATTTCTCTGTCTTGAAGGCTCTGGTGCAGGGTTAGTATATTGTATTAGTGCAAGGATGTCTATAATGTAAACAAACCTGGCAGAAGCATCTGTCACTGCCTCTCTGCTGCATCATCACCCATGCTGCCGGGTGTCTGTTTTAACTCAAAGCTATTCCTAGCCAAGTCAATCACTTATAAAATGCTTCTGAAGAGCTGTGCCATAGGCTCTCCCCTTCTTCCTGGGCCTGCTCTGCACAGTAAACAATCACCATGCTGGCCTCCAGAGCTGTACACTGCTGGGTTTGCCGCGGCAGGTCTTTGGGGCAGCCTCGGGCCAAGAGTGGGGAGAGTAAGGACAACATGGCTGCCCTTCACTTGTTAGTGCAAAGGTGGCTGTTTGAAATGTGTGTCGTTTGTAGTCCTGACATCATCTCCATCTCCAGTTCTTTACCATCCAGTTTAGTACGGCTGCTGCTATCTTTACCCACCTTGTTAATTAGGGTGCTGCCTTAACCCTTTTCTCCCCTTTATAAAATGGAAGCACATCCCACTGGTAAACCTCACGGCCCAAACCTTTAGGCTACTAGCAGATTGGCTTTTTCCTTTACCCAAGCACCAAAGCCCAGTTAAGAACTGTACAAATACTCCCCTCCCCCCACTCTCTCCTTGGATGCACCATTTCTCCCACGAGTTTGTACATGCTTGTGTACAAGCAATTCACAGATGGCCAAGGCCAGTGTTGTGTTACAGAAGAACCAGGCTGCTTGCCCCTTCCCTGTGTGCTTGGTGAAAAGGAAGCCAGTGACAACAGCTAAGGTGCTGGGAAAGCGAGGCCTCCCTGCAGGGCCAGTGTGTGTGTCCCAGGCTGGTGCGGGAAGGCTTAGCCTAGGGTTTCCCAACCTATGGGTCACCATTAAATTTCAAAAGGGTTGCCAACTGTCTTCCCCAGGTGCATTCACACATTTCAGAAGGTCTCCTGCTGGGCAGCTCTCTCTTCCCCAGGTGCATTCACACATTTCAGAAGGTGTCCTGCTGGGCAGCTC